TGTAGACCGCGACGAGCAGCTCTACAAGTCCAGAGATGTCTTGCGCTCGGCTGACCGCGAGCGATCTCAGGGCCACAGCTCGAGCCGCGCCAGTCGACGCGACGTCACGAGAATGGTGACGCCAGGTCCGACGACTCCAACTGCGTCGACAATCCCAAGACAGCCTCGACAAATGTCTACTCCTCGAAGAGGCTCGACAGAAGTCGGTAGTCCTGTATCACCTTGGACAGCATCGTCCTACGACCCATCAAATGGCACGTCGTCGGTGGGCAACGCTTTCTCTCGCGCAGCACTAGATAGACAGATGCAGACCCCACGTCTGCTAAGACGCAAGCCTACCCCAGAGTCCCGTTCAACCGACTCTTACGCAGACGCGTCGCAAGAAGAACTCCGAGTTCGTGGATGCGCTCGATGGCGCTGATAAAGATTCATTGGCCAGCATCACACGCTTTGAACGACCACATGAAGTCCCACCGCAATGCATGACAATTCCCGCGACTTTGCTCATTTCCGCCGCCAGATCATGATTTCTTCCTTGCCTTTTCGTTCTGGAGCGCTCTTGCTCGGCGGCGCGTGGTGCTCGAGCTCGAAAGCCTTCGAAAGTAGTGCTATGTGCTGATCTGGGGAGACGTTGTACTACTCGCAAAGGAGAGGAACGATTCGAATGAGCGGCATCATGAAACACAAATTGGTGCCAGTCTTTGCTCACCGGCGGCCCGGCATCACTTGAGGGCCCGATAGGATACACCAAGCAAAGCAACTTTCCCCCTGGCTTAATAAGTCGAGCATAGGTGTCTGCCCACTTCTGGTGCAGAGTGCTAGGCAGGGCGCAAAAGAAAGTGTAGTCGTATGCAAGATCAAAAGATTTGATTGTGCCATCGGTCTCCTTTTCTGAGTCGGCTTGCGTGGGCTCAAGACTGAACCAATCTGCTGCCCTTACAGACATTTGACTTGAGGCCGGAGCTGATGACTGGCTATCCAGCCATTGCTGAGCCGCTTCGACTGCCTTTGGACTGATATCGACGCCGACGGTGTGCAAGCCTCTGGAAGCCAAGAGGGCCACGTCGTAGCCTCTGCCCATTCCTGGCACGACAGCTCGGCCGGAAGTTGGGAGCAACTCAGACGTCTTTGCCTCCGAAAGCGTAGAGACCAGCGCTGCTTGAGCTTGACCCTTGTCCCATGGCGTCAAGCCGGCTTTCCATGCTGAATCCCACTTGCCGGAATCATGCGCACCTGCTAGCATCTCTCGTAGCTTCTCCACACCTGGCGGCAAGCCCGAGGCGTTGGCGGTCGACATGATGCGATCAGCAGTGCGAATGGTAAGTCAATTGCGGC